CACTCCATGCATTGATAGGGTTTCTCTCCTGTGTGGATCCTCTTATGAGAGGCAAGATAACAACTCCTATAAAAACCCTTTCCACACTCCATGCATTTATAACGTCTTTCTCCTTTGTGATTCCTTTGATGAATTGTAAGAGAGCTATGATGTGAGAAGGACTTTCCACATTCCTTGCATTGATATGGCTTCTCTCCCGTGTGGATATTCATATGGGAATTGAGACGAGTGCTAGAGGGAAATGTCTTTCCACACTGCATGCACTGATATGGTTTATCTCCTGTGTGGATCCTCTGATGGGAACGGAGATTACTACTGCAAGTGAAGCTCTTTCCACACTCGATGCATTGATATGGTTTCTCCCCTGTGTGGACCCTCTTATGGGAAGTAAGACGACTACTACAGCGAAAGGTCTTTCCACACTGCATGCATTGATATGGTTTCTCTCCTGTGTGGATCCTCTGATGGAAACTGAGTCTACTACTGAAAGTAAAGCTCTTTCCACACTCCATGCATTGATATGGTTTTTCTCCTGTGTGGATCCTCTGATGGGAATTAAGTCGACTGCTACAATGAAAGGTCTTTCCACACTGCATGCATTGATATGGTTTCTCTCCTTTGTGGGTCCTTTGATGGGAACTGAGACTACTACTCATAGTAAAGCTCTTTCCACACTCCATGCATTGATATGGCTTCTCTCCTGTGTGGATTCTCTTATGGGAATTAAGACGACTGCTACAGGGAAAGGTCTTTCCACACTGCATGCACTGATATGGTTTCTCTCCTGTGTGGATCCTCTTATGGGAACTGAGACCACTACTGAAAGTAAAGCTCTTCCCACACTCCATGCATTGATATGGTTTTTCTCCTGTGTGGATTCTCATATGGGAATTCAGATCACTGCTACAGGGAAAGGTCTTTCCACACTGCATGCATTGATATGGCTTCTCTCCTGTGTGGATCCTCTGATGGGAACTGAGACCACTACTGAATGTAAAGCTCTTTCCACACTCCATGCATTGATACGGCTTCTCTCCTGTGTGGATCCTTTTATGGGAATGAAGACGACTGCTCAAGGGAAAGGTCTTTCCACACTGCATGCACTGATATGGTTTCTGCCCTGTGTGGATACTCTTATGGGAATTGAGACTACTACTGTGAGTAAAGGTCTTTCCACACTCCATGCATTGATATGGTTTCTCTCCTGTGTGGATCCTCTTATGGGAATTGAGACTACGGCTGCAAGTAAAGCTCTTTCCACACTCCATGCATTTATAAGGTCTTTCGCCTTTGTGATTGCTTTGGTGTCTTATAAGAGAGATATAATAAGAGAAGCTCTTTCCACACTCCATGCATTGATATCGCTTCCCTTTACAAAGGAAATGGATCGCTTGGCATTCCTCCTTATAATTCTTATTCTTCTGCCCATTATAGCCTTAGAAAAGAAAAATGAAAACTGTAGCAAGAATAGAACAATCAAAACTTTTCTTCTGAAATTTAGCCAAAGAATCATCAATATATTTTGGCTTCTTTGTTGGCAAACATGAAGATTCCAAACTAAGATTTTAGCAAGGACCCAATTCCAAATGTATCCCTACTGATCCTCATACAAGAAGATTGGATCACATCACAATGAATCTAAGACACAACCCTGATCTAATCTTTGACCTGGGACTATTCCATGGGGCCACAAACTCCTGAAGTCCATTGGACACGGTATCATGCTGGGTCAACAACATACCTACCAGCTCCCCAACATCATTGGAAGTCTCATCCCCACTTGTCCTAAGAGCAGAATCTTTGAAAGCCAAGGGAAAATTCTGGATGACAATACCTCCCCACCATCAATTTGGCTGATGTTGAACACAAATGGGCACATCTCAGGGAAGGGACATTCTACTCTGGACCCATCCAGTCTTGGTTATACTGGCCCAGGGCCACCAGGGGCCTAGAGATGAGATTCAGGAGAAGGCAGGACCTTGCTCACGAGAGCCACACCATTTCTGCAGCCTATCCCTCAGACTCTTGCACCAGCCTAGAAACTAGGTCAGTGACTTCTAATTCAGCATTAGGGATGAATGCTGGCTGTGTTACTTTAGGCAAATCTCTCTCAGCTCAACCCATCTCACAGGATTGCTGTTGTAGGGAAAACAGCAGGAGGAAGGAATATTGAGTTTGTCCACTGCCTTTATTACTTACAAAAAATAGAGGCAAGATATAAATAAATGGTTTTTTTATCACTTATTTCCCTAAACCTATTTTAAAATAACATCTAAGCCTCCCCTCTCGGACCCCATTACATTTCTGTTTCTGAGCAGAGATAGGGATTCTTACCCAGAGAAGCCAGATTCCTGGAATTCTCCAGCATGACTTCTCCATGGAGCGCTTTTTGGACAGGATCCAGTTGAGACCACTCCTCCTTGGAGAAATACACGGCCACATCCTCAAAAGACACACCACCCTGAACAAGGAAACAAGTTTTCCTTTTAACATATCATGTCAATTCAAGGAGAGAGATCCAGTGAACAAAATGGGCATCTTATGCAGAATTCAGAATGAGATCTTACTGCTTTTGACTGATGGCAGAACTGAAGCACATTGGATCATGTTGGAAGTGTTTGGAATGCCTTTCAGTGTAACCAGCTAAAATAGTTTTCTTGTTCAATTGGTAGTTGGGTGTTAATTCACTAGTTATCAGTGGCTCCTGTTAGGAATATGAGTCACCTAACAGCTATTTGGGTTAGAAATATATAAACCAGGATAAACATTTTAAAACTGTATCTTTAAGAAAATGCAAAACTGTAATTAGGTGTGGTTTCTCAAACTTCCATAAGATGGAGCCAGAAACCTGGGTTATTTCTTCTGAGTCTCAGAAGAGAGTGTGAGTGTATCTGTTTCCTTCTGTTGGAAAGTATTGCCGTTCCTCCATTCTCCCTAATTGACTGATATTCCTGGATTTGATGTAAGTCTGATACTAAACTGTTTTTGACACTGGACTTTGATATTTAGATTATCCCTGGATTGAAAACTGACTGATTTACTTGTGAATGACTTTTGGACTGCCTATCTTTGAACTTTGCTTAAGCCTTTCTGGAAGCAAAAACCTACATTTACTGTACAGTGTATCTGTGTGCTCTGTGTGTATTATTCCAACACTACTCTCTATATGTCTCCCTGTATGTGCTCATTCTCCTAACGGGGAATTACCTCAACAGCTCCTATTCTTCCTACGGTGTGCAACGCCAAATACTGGCAAAACCCACCTGACATTTTTGCTAATAGCTTACTTTACCACTGAGGGGCAAATGTAACCCAATTCCACAGCTTCCTGAAGGTGTCAGAAAAGCTTGTAACAAGATATGTCTATCCTGGTGATATTTGTCCGAAAGATGATTTTCAAAAGGGAAAAAAAAGTATTTTTTGTAATGTCCGTGAGAATGACCCACTGGGGGAAGAACCCTGATGCTGACAACAGTCTGGTCAAAGAAGTCCTATTCTTAGAAACAGCAATATATTACATTGAACTCTATAATAAAATAAAATCCATTCAAGATTCATGGAGTTTTTCTCATGTTTTTCCTCCTTACCTGAAGAAGCGGTTCAGCCAATCTCTCAGCTCCACCACAAAGACGAAGTGATTCAAAAAATTCCAAGGAGAGCTTTCTACTCTCTGTGAGAAAGAGAAAAATAGTGGAATCAGATTTGTTAAGAGAAATTCCAATGAAGAGGGAAAAAGAATCAGCTAAATATTGTAATCTCACATGATACATAAAGAGCTTTTGTTACCCGGCATGGTGTCCTGGCTTCCATCGTTGCATAAGGTCTCCCTCAACAGCAGCTCTTCAGAAGATTTGAATGAATCTTTCCTCCCCTTGGGATACTCTGTCATAGCTTCCAAGGATTTCTGGATATGATGTGAGACGAAAAACAAAGAAAGACACCACGGAATTTTCATAATGCTCCTTTAAACTAGCAGACCCAAATATCCATTTGCAAAGCTCGATAGAGAATGAAAGAATTTCCCTAAATACATCCTCTAGAAGAAAAATGGAAAATTGGCCTTACGTATTAATAGTCCCAGAAAACTCTGCTAAAGGGGAATTGACAAATTCAGAGAGTTTCTCTTTGGAGCTGAAATGATAAGATTCTCACACCTGCATCTTTTCTGATTCCTGGGCCAGGAGGAAGCCTTCAGCCAGGGCCACCGCCTGGGAAGTGGTCTCTGCTCCACACTCCCCCACCCATTTCTCCATCTCTGGGGGAAGGAGAGAAAGGAACTGCTTCAGGAGCACCAAGTCCAGTATCTGAGCCTTCGTGTGTCTTTTCGGCTGCAGCCATTGATGGCAAAGGTGGTGAAGCTGACTGCAAATATCTCGGGGATTGTTCCCCTTCTGGAACTGCACTTTGCTGAAGTGACAGCATTGGACCTCTGAACTGCTGGCTTCCTCTTCTTGGCTCTTCTCCCCAGGACTTGTTCCATTCTTCCCACAGCTCCAAGGCTGAGTAACTGGAGTGTTTTTTCCAACACCCGCATCTGCTGGGCGTTGTGCCTCCATCTTTTCTCTGGTCTCTAATCCAGCTCCAAAATGGATGGATGGATCTCCCAAGTTTTACTAATCAGAAGACAGACATCTGGCCAAATCTCCTAAAGGCCATTCAGCTTTCTTTCCTCACAAGGTACTTTGGAATCCAGTGAACCAGGCAAGATTTCCAACTTATATATCTGAAATGGAAAACAAAGGAAACTTCCAGAAATACAGGCTGACCAACTTAACAACTGAGCATCCACAAAAACCCAAATAAGAAATTCTTATGAACCCAACAATATCTGGAAAGAGGGAGGAAATCTTACTAGTTGGTAGGCTAATATATCTGCGTGTAGAAAAAATTCTGTAGCAACCTTCTGCATTAACTTTGATCAAGGATTAAAAACTTTGGATGCTAAATTTAAAACATTCCTTGTTTTGTAATTCCTACTTATTTAAATAATGTTGTTGTTAAAAACAACCTTTGTACAATTCAGATCATAAATGTCTCAGGTCACAAACAGCCAGTCAGATGAGTGGCTTTCTAAATTGATTTTATAGGTAAATCATTCAATATTTGAACTTCCAGTGTAACTCTAGATAGCAGCTCCCGATTAACTTCCTGGTATATGCAGTACGCCATTTGCAGATCTGTACATTGGGGGAACAAAACAACCACTTCATAAACACATGGCACAACATAGGAAAACAAATAAATCAGGAGAAGATTCAGCAGTCCATCTGTAAGGTCTTGCCTCTCCAACTCTTCGCAAGAAAGCAGGATTCTTTGAAACTCAAGTTTTTCCAAAAGGAGGTGATTTTTTTGAAAGGTTTGCGATAGCATGAGATCTAGGCAGGAATTAAATCTTCTCACTTAAAAAACAGCAATTTAAAGCAGTGCAAACAAAACCCCTGCCCCAGCACAGCAATGCAGGAAACGAAATTCATATAGACATCTCTCCAAGCAGGAAATGGAAAAAGAAACTTCATATAGAGATTCCCTCCAATCCTCTTCCCTTCCACCAGAATACCAGCGCCCCAATACAAATATATGGGACCTGACACCATCGGCATTTAAAAGACAAAACATGAAAGTGCACATTTTGGGCAGAGAGCACTGCTGGTTTGAAAGAGGGTTCAAAGAGGCCATAGATGTCAAAATTGAACAGCCCTTTCTCAATAGAGGGGGAGGGATAATCTATCATCATCTATCTCCAGTCTAACACACAAGACTTCTCAACAGTTCCAGGAAGACTCCACACCCTTCTGCACCACTCAGGTGACTCTGAAGACACAACTCCAGGTGGCCTTTAGGACTAGCTAACAGAATGCAAATGACCAGCTGTCTGCAAGGAGGGTAAATCCATCCATTCCCCCCCAAGCGTCTTGGATGAGAAGCAAAAGTCTTCTAAGAAAAACAAGAAAGTCCAGTTGCCTCTTGAAAAAGCACGTTTGGGACAACCATGACTTGGATGGCGGAGAATCTCCATAGACTCCTGGCGCAAACCACTATAGGTACCTGAGAAATCACAATCAACAAACCACCATTCAATGAAAACAGAATAATACCCGAATCAACAAAGCATTTACGGCTTAATTTGATGTTTTGATGCAGGCATCTCCTGGAAAGAGGTTTCTCACGTTTTGCTTAATTCTAAATGGCTCCGACCCTTTTCACTGTCCCGAATTTCCTCCTGGAGGCAACGCAGCGGGACCGTAGCTTTTGATTTCTTCCCTGCTTGCCCCGTCCATGCTCAGGGGCGGCAGGGGAACATGGGGACAAGGGGCTCCCCACTTTCCGGAACTCCGTACTTGATGAAGTTTTGCGTCTCGGTCCAGCCCTTGGAAGA